TACGTTACGTTACTTACGTTACGTTACGTTACTTCGTTACGTTACGTTCGTTACGTTACTTCTCGTCTCTCTTCTCTCTCTCTCTCTCTCTCTCTCTCTCTCTCTCTCTCTCTCTCTCTCTCTCTCTCTCTCTCTCTCTCTCTCTCTCTCTCTCTCTCTCTCTCTCTCTCTCTCTCTCTCTCTCTCTCTCGTGTCTCTCGTGCACACTCACACACACACAGCAGTGATTCAAGTCATTGTCTCGGATTCCCCCGAGTACCTCAGGCCTGGTAGGGTGCAGTTCTGGATGACTAACCCCGAAAATCGGTCGAGTCTGACTCAAACTAGTGGTCGTTTATGTGCAACCTGACTTGGTGAAGTCTTCCTCTGACCTGGGCTCGGGACCCTGGCAATTCAGAACCCGAGCCCAGGCTTTTAAACACTGGCATGGTCTTGATTTTGTAAGATCTGGAAGTAGTAAGGGAAAGTAGAACTAAGATAAGTGCAAATATGTGTGTTTTGATTTAATTGATGTTATTGGGTTTGTTTCCTTCACTGCTACAGACCGAGGAGAGATGGTTGGAGGATAGCCTTTGCATTGGACACCGGAGGGGCTCCTGATAGTGGCGGCAATGAAAGGCTTGACGATGGGGACAACACACCAGGACAGCTAGGTAGGACGCGATTAGGTCGGATTCTTAGTGGGGGTAGTAGGCAACTCTTGGAGAAGCTAAATGGGGCAAGGAGGAACTTTCCAATGAAAGTATTTCTATTGCTTTTAGGTTTCTACACTGCGAATGCATTGGCAACAATATTAGGGCAAACAGGAGATTGGGATGTCTTGGTTGCTGGTATTGTGGTGGCTGCCATTGAGGGCATAGGCGTACTCATGTACAAGAGACCTTTGCCCATACCCATCGGGAAGCTTGAGTCTTTAGTTGGGATGATAAATTATTGGAAGGCGGGTCTTTGCTTAGGGCTTTTTGTAGATGCATTTAAACTTGGGAGCTAGAAAAAGGAGTCTTCAGTTCCTAGCTAGACACTTTTATGCATTACTTTTTCTTGCCCAAGATTCATTTTGTATAATGAGAGCTTTTGGGTCTGTCATTGGATGACTGATGAAACCCTTCAGATACATTTGATCCTCCTCCTCGTCTCAGAAACCCTTCCCAGCTTCTATTGTCCCATGGTTATGCTTTTTCTCTCTTCTCCCTTCACACTTTCTCTTCTTTCTCTCATTCTTAACATTTATTCCTTTCTCCTCATTCTTCATTTTTTCCTCTCTCTTCTCTGTCTCATTCTTGCTCAGAAGTTAGCAGTCTAAGGGTGACAGATATGGGCTTGGCCCGCCAAAGGGGAGCTTCCCAAGCTCAGCTATGCTCTTGGGTTAATGGGGTTGGGCGGGAGATCAGATATTAATCGTTTTGTTTTTTAAATTCATAGCAACATAAGAATAAGAAATTGGCCAGTCATGCGATGATCCATGGCCCAAGCCCAATCCTACACAAACATGAGGTTGTTACGAGCATGGCCGACTAGATGCCCAACCCTCTCATGTTGTATAGCACCTTTTTATTCACCACCATCATCATCGTCAGCTGAGCTTTATCCCGACAGTTTTCCTTAACATTCATTTGGCCAAAAAAAAAAAAATGTATGGCATGTTTCCATTTGGCAAAATTGTGACTTCCTTCACTTTACAAAGTCATCAAACTTGGCTGGCCGTGACCTCTAGCGCAAGCCCGGCCCAACTCAGATAATGGACTTTCTAAGCCCAATTGCCTGCCCCACCCAATCATCATGCTGCCATTTTACGTCCTTATACATTGAGAGCAAATTGTAACTTCATTTCACTGGACAAAGGCATGAATTTTCCATTGAAAGACTCTGGTAAGAAGAATCCATGCCAACAAGAAGAACGAGGTCACCTTATTTGGCTCTTATTTTCAAATTTCAAAATTTTGAACCCTTGACCTCCCTCATTCAAAGAGCTAAGCCTTAAATGAACTAATAACAACATCCCATGTCATAGGGTCGTGTTGAAACATTTAATGGGAACATAAAGTACTTCATCATCGTTAAAAAAAATTCTCAATTAATTGGGGTCGGTTACATGAATCTTAGTCTATCATTCTACTCAATTAAGGGTCAATACTCTCTGTAAGATTTATAGTCCATATATCTTTTTTCATGGAATATAAAATACCTATTGGTGATAACTGAAAAAATGACTTATATTGTATTTGGGGTTTCTTAAACCTTACAATTTCCCGACACCCTCGAAGCCATTCAATGCCATGAATGTACATTCAAGATATGTGATTTCCCAGCTCAAGAGTCTATCAAAATTTTTGAGGGACCTCAAGTGGTGGAAACACTAACAATTGAGGATGTGGGCAAGAAAATTGTAGGAAACCCAAGAGATAGCGTACCATACATGGATGCTCGCTACCATACATGGATGCTCTCCATTGATAAGCGTTCTCATGAGTAGGTTAATTTGGAAATAAAATGAAACAAGTCATTTCCGTTCTATTTGAAGAAAATATTGGGGAAAATTTTCAATGTTTTGTAAATAAATAGGGTTGAGAAATGAACCTACTTGAAGTGAACCAAAAACTTTGGGGTGCGGTTTCTATAAGGTTACAACTTCAAACAATCTATTAAGGTGCACCTTCAAATTTTATCATAACATGTAA